CCTGTCTCAAAACAAAACAACAATAATAAACACACCTATACACAATTAGAGTAACAATTAACAAGTAGTTTAAATAATTAGTGATTTTAGTATAAAAAGTATCGAAAGTGATAGAACTGTGGGGGACCGGCGGCGGCTGAAAAGATAAGAAGTATGAAATATAAATGACCTTTATTTTAAGAATGCAGGGAGAGACACCCCCACACACACACACCCCCGCGGGGCATGGCATCTCCACCCTGGGGTCCGAGATCTCTCCCTGGAACACGTGGAGTGAGGCCCATAAGTAGCCTCGGCTTGGGATGGAACCCAAGGGGGGCATTAGGGATGCACAGGTAGCCCATTGGTCTTTGTTTGGTGCCAGAGGTAGATTCCTAAGGGTGGGAGAGATAAGAGCTCCTTGACTTTACCGGCTACAGTGTCCGGCTTGGGCCAAAACCCTTTCAGAAAGTATACAGGAAATACATGTCAAAACAACCAAGGCATATTGTAGTTTTACTTTCTGGTATTTGAAATTAATGATGTAGCCAGGCATGGTGGTGCATTCCTGTAAGCACAGCACTAAGGAGGCTGAAGCAGGAGGATCTTCGCAAGTTCAAGACCAGCCTGGGCTACAAAGTGAACTCAAGGTCAGCCTGAACTGCATAGTGAGACTCTGTCTCAAAAATAGAAAAATAAATACATTAATGATGTAGAAAAATTAAATTATGGGTGCCCATAACATTGACAGAATTTTTTTTTCACTTTTTTTTTTTTTTTTTTTTTTGTCTTTTTCATTTTTATTGGTACCAGGGATCAAACTCACGACCGCCTGCTTACAAGGCAGGTGCTTGTGCCGCTGAGCTAAATCCTCAGCTGAACTTTTTTTTTTTGAGACAGTGTTTTATTGTGTAGTCCAGTTTGGCCTTGAACTTGCTGTGTGTCCTCAGCTAGCTCAAACTCATGATCCTTTTGTCTCAGCCTCCAAAATCTGGGATTACTGGGATTATGCCACAACCATCAGGGCAATCTTAATATATTGCACCATATGTGCATACGTGTGTGTGTGTGTGTGTGTGTGTGTGTGTTGCTCAAGATGAAATCCAGAGCTTTATGTAAGATAGGCAAGCACTCTACCATCAAGCTACAGCCCTAAGCCCACTGTATGCCACTTTTTAAAACCCTACATTTCTTCCTCCTCCTCTTTTACCTCTTTTGTTTGGTTTCAGTTTTGGTTTTAGAAAGGATCTGGCTGTGTAGTCAGGTCAGCCTGGAATTCACTGTGCAGTCCATGATGATCTTGAACTCACACCTCCTGCCTCAGCTTCCTTCACATAGTACCCTGCCTTTTTCTTTTTGATTGGGATTTAATCCACAATACCATTAAACTCATCATTTTAGAGAATATAGTTCTTGGCCTTTAGTGTATTCACAAAGTGATTGAACCATCAGCCCTTGTTAGACCGGTGTCGCAAGGAAGACTCCAAGGGCCTCGCTCTCATGTAAGAACAATGGGGTTTTTATTTGTCCGTGTACACGGGGTCCTCCAAACAGGTGGAAACAGAGAACCCTGAGTTGGGGCAGGGCTGGTGTTTTTAAGGGGGAAAAACTGCAATGTAAGCATTTATTACAGAAGCCAATCATTACAGTTAGTGTGGAGCGGTGGGCATCTTATCTATCTGCTATTGGTCAGTTTATAAGGGGTGACCAGCAGGTCAGAGTTAATTAACTGTCTTTGTTCTGTACAACTTGTCTTTAAGACACCTGGTTTCTGTAGACTTGAGTCTGACATATTTTACAACCTTGATTAGCATAATGGCAGGCTCTATCTCTGAGTTCCCTGGCACAGCACATCCCCAGCATATCACAGCCACAGAGGTTGTTTTTATTTCTGCAGGACTGAGTTAGGACTGAGTCAGGAGGCCCAGTGCTGTTTCTAGCTGAGAAACAGCATCTTGTTTTTAACCTTTAAATTTCTGGTTCTACACCCTATTTCCAAAACTTTCTCATCATCCCCCAAAGAAGCCCAGTTTTACTGGCCTCAGCAACTATAGTACTAACCTACTTTCCATCCGTAAATGTATGCATTCCAGACATCTCATACAGGTGGACTCATACAATACATAGTCTTTTGTGCTAGTCTCTTTTCACTTTGTATTCATGTTTTCAGAGTTCATCTATCTAGTTGCATGTATCTGTACTTTCCTCCTATTTTGGTAGAGTATCATTCCTTTATAGGGAATATTACCATTAATTCCATTATAAAGATTAAGATCTCACTATAGGTAATTTTATCATTCATCATTTGATGAACACGCACATCACTTTTTTTTTGCTTGTTTTATTATTTTTGTTTTTGAGATAGGGTCTTGCTTTGTAGTTCAGATGGGCCTTGAACTTGTGATCTTCCTGCCTCAGCCTCCTAACCGCCTGAATTATAGGCAAGTGCCACCACACCTGGTGAGTCACTGCATATTTGTGATACTGTTATAAATAATTCATACTCTGAGAGGCTGAGGCAGAAAGATCACAAGTTCAAATCCAACCTAGCAACTTAGACTGTCTGTTATTGTTTGTGTCTAGTTATCTCCTCCAAGCTTCATGGGTCACAGAGGGCAGGCTTTTCAGAGGGAAAACATCTTAGATTACTCATCTTTTTTTTTTTTTTGTCTTTTTTGTTTTTATCCGTACCAGGGATCGAACTCACGACTGCCTGCTTGCAAGGCAGGCGCTTATGCCACTGAGCTAAATCCCCAGCCCCTAGATTACTCATCTTAAAGTACATCTCCAAGGACACATATATATCTCCAACCCCAAGTACTTCTTTAATAGGTAGCAGCATACAATATAAGGGATGAAAAAGAGGCTTGCTCCTTTCTTTTTGTTTTTGTCACTTTTGATGTCTTCCATACCATTAACTGCTGTCTCTGCCATGCTACCCTGCCTTGGAGCGAATCAATTATGGACTATGAGCTAAATCCTTCCTCCTTTAAGTGTCAAGTATTTTGTCCCAGCAACAAGAGAAAGGTAACCATGACACTATCTCAAAAAATAAATAAAAATTAAAAGAGCTATGCCAAGCATGGTGGCACACACCTGTAATCCCAGCACTCAGGAGGTTGAGGCAGGAGGATCAATGTGAGTTCAAGACCAGCCTGGACTACTACAAAGTGCGCTCAAGGCCATTTAACAAATGCATAACTAAATCCTGTCTCAAAAAGACAAAATTTAATTAATTAATTAATAAAGGGGCTAGGAATGTAGCTCCATGCAAAAAATCCTGAGTTCAATCCCCAGTGCAATATAAATAAATAAATAAACAAACAAACCCAGGTCTCCAACCCGACCATAGTGTGCCTCTCCATTTTTCGAGTGTGTAGTTCTTTAACTCTGCCTAAAGAGAAACTTGTCTTTGCCTCTCATTGGTGCATCTTAAAATTCCTTTTTCTGTGGCCAGAGTCAAGATTTGGCCATCTCTTTTTGGAGGAATTCTTTGGACCCTGTCCAGTGAGCAAGGCATCCTATGTTTAATACCACATCTTACAGACATTTCCTCAAAAAGGGAAAAATAAATTGTGAATCTGTCCCTTCAAGGAAAACAAAACAATATTTGTTGCCTATTATTCCTCTAGCTATTAAGCGAAGAAGTTAAAATTTTGAAAAATTTTTATCTGCTACCATTAGTTTCACAACTTCTTGACACTTTAAGAAATTTCTGAGATTGATGGCAATATTTGTGGGGGTTGTATAATTTGATCAGTATAATCATTTGATTGTATAATAAAATGTATTAACATAAGATCTGCATTAGTCAGTGAGTTCATATTTTCTAAAGACCAATGAATATTGTTATAAAACCACATTTGGGTAAAATGCAAAACAGACCAATGGATTTTAATGAAATAGAAAAAAAAAGTCCGTTGATGTCATTTTAGATCCCACACTGCAACTACCACCTGCGTTCTAGCTGTGGCACATGCCTGTAGCCTCAGTACTCTACGAGGCTGAAGGAGAATCAGGGGTTCGACCTGGATGGAGCCTCCAAGCGCCAAGCGTTCTAGGAAACCACTGACTGGAGCCATCTCTGTCCGCAGCGCTCTGGGCTGCTGGAGGGATAAGCACTTCGTGGCAGTGCGCGGCAGGCAGAGGCTGGACCAGGGGGCAAAAGCCGGACCAAAGAGGAAGGCTGGACTAATGAACGAGGTTGGCCAAATGGAAGAGGGTTGGAGCAAAGGTGAAAGCTGCTACGTGGTCAAGGGCGCTGCTGGGCGGCAAAGTCCAGTGGATTCAGTGTATAGACACTTTCATTCCCTCAGCTCACTCAGTAATCCATCGGTGGCCAAGAAGGATTTTAAGACAAACGCTCCAGCTTTCTCCTCAAGGAAGTCTGGAGGTCTCTGTTAACCCCCTACCCCCACTTCTGCCCTTCACTGTTGCCACTTCCCTTCCCCGCCCTGCAGTGGAACCCCGCCTAGAGCCTGAATCAATTATGCAGGTCCTGCAGATGCTCCGCCCTTCCGCGACAACACCCAATCCTGTACTGTCACCGCCATTTTAATGGCCGAACGGCTCCGCCCCTGCACGCCGATTGGGCGGGCCTTCCCCTCAGCTCTGCGCTCAGAAAATCCGGGAAAACGGAGTCACCCAAGGAATGGGTCTCCCGCCCTTCCCCCAATCCTGCTGCGCATGCTTGCCCTGTGACCAGTTAGAGGTGACCGCCAAGCCAAAGCTGGTCGAGAGGCCGAGGCTCCGTTGCCGGAGAGGGAAGGCCACGCTGTTGTCAGTGAGAACGGGCCGTCATCTGCCCAGGTCGCATGGCCTGGTGCTAGAAGAGCCCCGTGCTCTGCTCGTCGGGCGCTGGCTACTTCCGTCTCGGCCACCCATGATTCACCTCTTTTGGCCTCGCTCCTCCTCCCCGCCCAATCAGCCCCAAGACAAACTGACACCCCCAATCGGGAGCCGCCACATTCATCTGCTTTCCCATGACCATGTCTGCCTCACCCTGGAAGCACCCAACCTACCCTCTCCTCCAGTCTTTGAATCCCGAGATCCTTGCGTGTGGCAGAGTTGGAGACCTGAGTTCTGAGCGGAGGGGAGACGCCCTAGAGGTCGAGTTAGGAAGTGGCAGCATTAGTGCGAGAGGAACTGGAGCCCAGGGCCATTTGGGGACCGTCACACCGGAAAAGGGAAGAGGGGAGAACCAAGATTCTGAATTACGGTGCTTAGGGGAGAGTGATGCCTTACCTGAAATTCTCACTGTGGGATGCTGTGCATACTACAGAGTACAGTTCCTGGCCTATGGGGGGGGGGCAGCTATGGGTGGTTTTTTTTCCCCCCTCTAGCTGTGTTCTTAAATCTGTGAAGCTGTGCCTTCACACGTAAGTGGCACATCATCCCATCAGCAGTCCAGGCACAGCTCTCCAGGCACACACTGTACAGTGATAGGAGGAGCAGCTGCCATAATCCTTGGAATTGTGGAAACAACTACTGTCTTGATTACTTTTCTCTCGTTGCTGGGACAAAATACCCGACACCCTAAATTAAGGAAGGCAAGGTTTATTTAGCTCACAGTTTGTGGAGATTTCAGTCCATAATCAGCTGGCTCCAACGCAGGGTGGCATGGCACGTGGGCAACAGTTTAAGGTAGTAGCCAGCAAAAGCAGCCAGAGCAAAAGGGGTGGAGCAAGCCCCTTCCTCCCTTATATTGTAAGCAGGCTACCCACACCCGCCTCTTCTCAGGGCCTATGTAGTATTCACACCACCTCTGTGCGCTCCTCTTACACAGGATGAGAATATTTATAAAGTAAGGATCCTGGCTCCCCGCTGAGCCTCTCAGTTAAATTTCTAAACTTCTGAAGTTCACACACTGATCAACCATAACAACTACTTCACCCTTCTTAGCAACCTCTGCTAAATTTACCAGAATTCCCATTACATAAGTGAACCCAGCCCATAGAAAGTAAAGCATTTGTCCTGCTGGCTGAGGATGCAGATATTGGTGGACATTGGTATCTCCGGTGCCTAAAGAGGTAATTCTGTTGACCAACTTGAGGTACCATGTGAGGTTCCAGACTTCTTAAACCTCATAAGTAAGGGATTTGTACTATCTTCTTTTGGTTACCATAAGAAATTACCACAAATTTAGTAGCTTAAAACATAACTATCTTTTTAATTAATATTTAATTTTTATTGGTACGTTTGCTGTTGTAATGATAACATTTCTTGTGGGGAGTTGGTACATGTACATAACAGTTCTTAATATTTATTTATTTTAATCTTTTTGAGACAGGGTCTCTTTATGCAGTTCAGGCTGGCCTTGAGTTCACTTTGTAACCCAGTCATATCTGGAACTCCCAAGAGTCCTCCTCCAGCCTCAGTCTCCCAAATGCTGGGATTACAGGTATGAACCACCATGCCCAGTTGTCAATTTTTAAAAATCCTCTTTCCAGACAGCCCACAACATGGGAGAAAATGTTTGCCACCTATACCTCAGACAAAGGATTACTATCAAGAATATCTACAGAATTAAAAAAAATCAATCCTTCCAGATTTAAAGAACCAGTCCAAAAATGGGCATCTGAGATGAATTCACACTTCTCAGATAAAGAAATACAAACAGCAAATCAATATGTAAAAAAATGTTCAGCATCACTGATCATTTGAGAGATGCAAATTTAAAATAGCACTGAGAGTCCACCTCACTCCAGAAAGAATGACTATTATCAAGAAATTAAGCAATAAGATATACTGGAGGGGCTGTGGGGAATAAAGAATGCTTCTCTGTTGTCAGAAATGCAGACTGGTGCACCCACTGTGAAAATCAGTACAGAGATTCCTCAAAAAAACTAGGACTAGAGGTCCCATTCAATCCAGCTATTCCCTTTCTGAGTATCTTCCCAAAAGAATTAAAAACCTCAGCTGGGCGTGGTAGCTCATGCCTGCAATCCCAGCACTCAGGAGGCTGAGGCAGGAGGATCGTTTCGAGTTCGAGACCAGCCTGGGCTACAAAGTAAGCTCAAGGCCAGCCTGAACTGCATAGTGTGAGACCCTGTCTCAAGACAAAAAAAAAGAATTAAAACCTCATACTACAGTGATATATGTGCACCTATGTTTATAGCAGCACAATTTTTTATTTATGCTTCCATTTTACTGTTTTTAAGAAACTGCCACCTCAGTAGTCTTTTTTTGTGTGTGTGTGTCTTTTTTGAGATGGGGTCTCCCTATGCGGTTCAGGCTGGTCTTGTGCTCACTTTGTAGCCCAGGCTGATCTCAAACTCGAAAAGATCCTCCCACCTCAACCTCCCGAGTGCTTGGGATTATAGGCATGAGCACCACACCCGGCCACCTTAGTAGTCTTTGTTTTTGTTTTTTGTATTTTTACCGGTACCGGGGATCAAACTCACGACCACACGCTTGCAAGGCAGGTGCTTATGCCGCTGAGCTAAATCCCCAGCCCCTACCTCAGTAGTCTTAAGAGCAATATAATGAACCATACATACATTTAGACTTACGTCCATCGTAGCTTCAAAGGTTTCCCTGAAATAATTCTGGGATTCATATCTTTTTCCTTAAGAAAAGAAACACTAACAGTAATTTTGTTTTCCTTCTACCAATCCCTATTCAAACAACTGATGAATTCAAGTCTAACATCAATTAAAAATTTTTGTCTCCTACAAGACATTCATCTGATCTGCCTCCTTGCATATCATGTTTATTAAACCTAACTTAAATCATTTTTAAAAGCCTATAGAAATTCTCTTAACATATGGAATTTTAGCATGATATTTTCTTTTCTTTTTTTTTCTTTTTTTGTCCAAAGCAGGCTAGATGGTTTCTCACCGCATTTGATGCTAATGAATTTCAAGAAAAGCTGAAGAGCTCTTCATGAATAGCTGAGAAGCTCTAAAGTGAATTTGGCTATTTTCTAATTACATAACAAAGAATGGTTTGGATTTTAATAGTAATATTTAATAGATCCTAAATAGGGAAATGAATAGGAATCAAGTTTGCACCAGTCCAAATACCTACAGTGATACTCACCCCCAACACTTCACACTATTTCACTCTCATGCTAATAACAAAAATTTCTCCCTGGAAATAATGCATTAACAAACTAGTCTCTCAGGGGCTGGGGATTTAGCTCAGCGGCATAAGCACCTGCCTTGCAAGCAGGTAGTCGTGAGTTCGATCCCTGGTACCAGTAAAAAAGAAAAAGACAAAAAAAAAACAAAAAACAAAAAAAAAAAAAACCTAGTCTCTCAAACTGCTCGGTATGAAAAGTTACTTAAGGAAAAAGTGTATTATCTTTGGCCAATCAAGAGTGCAAAGGCCAGGGGCTGGGGATTTAGCTTAGCGGCATAAGCGCCTGCCTTGCAAGCTGGCAGTCATGAGTTCGATCCCTGGTACCGATAAAAAAGAAAAAGACAAAAAAAAAAAAAAAGAGTGCAAAGGCCAGTTATATGATTTTTAACTGTTTTAAGTTCAGAAAGTTTAGGGGTGGGGATTTAACTCAGTAGCATAAGCACCTGTCTGGCAAGCACAAAGTTGTAGGTTTGATCCCTGGTACCACAAAAAAAGTTCAAAAAGTTTTGTATCTGATCATCCTAAATGAAAGTTTGTTTTGCCTGGACCAGACAGATTAAAATGGTAAATTAGCAAATAGTTCATTCTTTGTTGAAAAAGAAGTATGTTCTAAGTTTACATACTACAAACTGCCTAATAAATGATATCTGCATACTACGCATCATGTTTATATTATGCACCATTTTAGGAGGGCAGAAAAGTTCACAGGGGTTTCTGTGGCTATATAATAATATCCTAAGAATGATGATTTATACATACGAGATTTGTATAAACCCTAAGTGGTCATCTTAGCTGGACTGTAACAAGCCGCAATAATGTAAAAGCTGACTCTGAAGGTACCTATAAAGCACTGAAATTCACAATTTAGTCATCATCTTTTTCTCCAATACAGAGTTATCTGATAGTCATCATTGTTGATACCATGCTAAAATGTTACAAATTTAGATCGCAAAAAAACCAAAAACCAAAAAACAAATTTAGATTGCTTGACCAATAAAAGGAACAGGTATAATAGTTTTCAAATTTTGAGTTAGAGGAAAAACCCTTATCACACAAGCAATGAAGCCTGAGCATATGCTAATTTGTGATTACAAGAAAACATTCCTCATTAATACATTATTCAAATTCCTCCAAAGCATTTCAATTTTAGTTTAAAACTCAATAAAGAAGAACCCACATAAGCACAGAATTTAAACTACCATTTAAATGAGGTACAAATGAGGACTTATATAAAGCCTATCAGCCCTAAATATTTAGCTTAAGACAATGAGCAGAGAAAATGTCGTGTATATAACACCATTTGAACAGTCCTATAAAATAATGTTACTTAAGATTAGTATGAGGTGGGGCTGGGGATTTAGCTCAGCGGCATAAGCGCCTGCTTTCTAAGCAGGCAGTCGTGAGTTCAATCCCTGGTACCGATAAAAAAAAAAAAACGAAAAAGAACCCCCCCCCCCAAAAAAAGAAGATTAGTATGAGGCTTCATGTGATTTCAACCATTCAGTTAAAAAAAAAAACACGAATGGCAGCACACCCCTCCCCTCAGCTTGGAGCCTGTAGAGAATTACTTTGGCCATATCCTCCCGAATAATTAGAATACCTTTTTTTAAAATTTATTTTTTTAGAATGCCTTTTAATATCAATGTCTTAGTACTGGAATTCCAATGTATTTTGGTGTTCGTAACTCTGCCTAAACACAAGAAGGCATTTGAGTAAATACTTAACTATATCTCAAAATTCTTATCATTTAACAGTCTACCTTGGGCTGGAGATTTAGCTCACTGGTGTAAGCACCTGCCTGGCAAGCACAAGGTCGTGAGTTTGACCCCTGGTACCAAAAAAACCCAAAAACCAGAAAAAAGTCTGCCTTATAGCAAATTCTACTTTACAAATTTTATTGTAACTTTAGGAAATCATGGTAAGACACATGACTAAAAAACAATATGTGGCTGCACTTAAGTTCACATAAAAATAGCATTTTTACAACCATATGGAAATTTAATCCTTTTGCATAGATTAGCAAAATGTATCACAAGAATAACTAAACATCAGGTTTACCAAAAGCTGTACTTTTGAAAGTGGAACAATGAAAAATTTTCAAATTTTTTTTTTACAAATGATCACTTCTGAGTCAATTTACCACACTAGGGGAACAAAGCTGTTAAAATATAGCTGTGCTCAACCAAACCACTTAACTGCCCTACAGTATAGTACTTGAAATCAATCCTAAGGTCAAGATTGAAAGCCATTATAAGAGACAAAAGATTCTATGTGTTTTACAGTCACCTTGGTAAGAGGTACTTTTCCTTCCCAAGAGTCAAAGCTTACTGAAAAGACTGACTCATGCCTTCAGTTCAAAACGCTATTATCATTGATAATATGTGATAGGATTATTTCCAAAAGATGAGAAGTATAAAACAAAAGAGGCCTTTATTCTGAAAGCACAGAGAGAGATAACCGGCACCCCCCAACTGCTGGAGTCCAGCGATCTCTCTGGAG